GCACTGAGAGAAGCATCCTTGAAGCACCCCAGGCTGTGCCTCAGGCGTTCCCATTGAAACTGCCAGAGCTTCTTTGGGAAATGGTGTGAATTCAATGGAAGAGCCGGAATAATTCCATCAAAACTGTGCCGGGGCCAAAGAGGACTTCATTTGATTTGGGCGACACGTGTGATCCCATGAACAGACACTTTTTTAGACCATTATTTTCTTAAGTCAACACAAAGATGGTGAAGAGGAAAGAGGGAAATAAAATAGAAGCCTCAACTTTAGGAAAAGACAATACATTTGAGATAGCCCCTTCCAGGCATTAAGACTTTCAGAGAATGTCCCCAGTCTCTCTCTCCTGCGAGCCTGAGAGAGTTAAGGGGACTTATTCAGGAATTGGAAACCTTCAATTCTGGATTTTTGTGCCTTTGTGGGTTTAGGCAAAGCAGTTAGCGTTCTTCAGGAGGGGTTTTGTGTTTAATATACATGAGTTCATTCAACTACAATGGGAAAAGAAAACTCATTTGTTCTTATAAAACTAGGAAGGAAAGATAACTTTAAATAGACTGCCAAAAAGGATCCCGCTCGAGGGGGTTGCCTTCCCGCTAAAGAGCCAATATTCAACTGTAATTTCACCCCGCTATGTTGTGCAGTAATTCCTAAGTTTATCATCATCAATGGTCTTGATTTTCTGATTTATTTTTAAGGTCAGGTAAGAAAAAGTACGGGCTGCACTTATACTCTCCTATGGGAGAGAAATCCCTGGAGTATGATTTTAGATGCAGGGTAAAAACCTCAGGGAGCTTGAGAAGGCTGTTGGCTGTTTATGAAGAGTCCTGGAAGCCTGTTTGGACAATCGGCTTCTCCATTTATTGAGAAGCCTTTTGAAAGCGACTTCGAGAGGTGGTGTGTGCGAGTCGGCTTTTATGCTGTTTATCGTGTACGTTAAACGCCTTCCAGGATCTGAGTTTTATTTTTTTAATTTGCTTCTTGTAGCACTGGACGAAAGTGGAGCTGCTTCTTTCTGTTTTCGTTTCTCCCCCCCCAACCCCCGTTTTTTTTAACCTCTCGGCAGCGCGTTTTTTACCGCCCCAGCCCCGCAGCCCCGGCTCCCGCATGCGGTGGTCGCCAGCAGGTGCGGTGGCAGCGGGTTGGCTCGGAGGGCACGGGGTGAGATCGGTGGTGCGGGGGAGCCGCCCCTGCCACCTCCCGCAACCCCCCAACCCTGCGACCGGGCCCGGACCCGGGCCGTGCTCTGCCCACACGTGTGCTCTCTCTGTGGTTCCATTCGGGAGAAGCGGGATGAAAGGAAAGGCCCGGAGCAGCGCGGGGCTCCCTCGGCATTCCGCGGCTTTTCAAGTGTCCTTAGAGCCCTTGAATGAAATTATTGGGCGAAATGGGGTCTTGGCGGGCCCGGCCGTGGCTCGCCCCCTCCTTAGTTTGTACGTGTAATGCCACTTCTGAGACCGACAATCAGGCTACTTGCTGGACAGGCAGGGACAAAAAGGAGATTAAACCGTTTTAAATAATAATAAAAAATATCCAAAACGCAAGCAGAGTGGATTACACTTGCTGCGGCGCCTCGGCTCCCCCCAGGTCCCCCTCACAGCCGCCCTCGGGCCTCGCAGGGAGGGTGGCCCCAGCCTCACCCGCGCTCGGCCCCGCCAAACTTCCCAAGTTTCCCTGAGCTCTTTCTTTCTGGGCCCGGCGGGTCTCCTCGGGTCTTCGGTCATCGCCGTGTGATATACTTATTTGGCCGAGGACATTCTGCATTTTCCCCACCTCGGGAGCGTTCAGGGGCTGGGGAAGGCGGCTCGGACCGCAGGGCTCCCCCGGCCCCTGCCCCTGTCCGTATCCACTCCAAATGCGGCTTTTATTCTAGGGCATTCCAGACTATAGCTCCCCAAGTTTTCCTCGGCATGCTACCGCAAACTCACCATGTGATGACTGAAATTCCCCAGAGAGTGGGGAACAGTTAGTGCAATAGAACTTTCCTGACTAACTTCGGCTCCTGGGCACTGGACTGCTACAGCATCAGAAGGGAGAGAGGAAATTTATCTGCACATTTTCGTCTTCGCCTGTTATTTTTTTTTTTTAACGTAATGAAATTAAAACTTTTGGAGCTCACAGTTGACATTTTGCAGAAAATTGAGTTATCAAGGCAGTAATTATTTCACAGGGAGATAAAACTCTCATAGCCCTAACTGTCAAATAGGGCCCTTTTCAGATTTTAATTACAAAATAAAATTAGTCTGCTCTTCCTCGGAAGGGTTTGTGAGTGGCTAAACAGAGCTTTCCCCAATACTGGTGGTCGTCAAACTCTGCTAATTAGCAATGCTGAGAAATTCCAGTTAACAAGGACATTCTCTAAGTCTCTGCAGGTTCCCTGCCGTTCGCCTTCATTTCCATAAGAAGATTAAGAGTGGAGGGGAACACACTCAAATGCAGATGCAGAAAAGAAGCGTTTTTAACAAGCATCATAATAGTAAGATGCTTGGCTAGTTCTCACCTAATTACTGCAAGTTAAACCTCTATTTGCAGCTAAGGACAAAAAATGGAGCTGCAATCTCCCATCTCCACAAGTCTGCTTAATAGTTTGCTTTAGATTGGTTACTAGTAGGTTCAGGAAAAAAAAATATGAAAATGTGTATATTCTTTCCGATACAGTTAACATGATAGGTTGTATCCTTAGGGCTTTTAGAAAAATCGGCGAGTATTAGAACAAAAAACACATTAAATCCTACTAGCTAACATTCATTTTCTTTTTAAGACACTCATAACCTGGAAATAAGAGTGCGTGTGCCGCAGAGCCCATCACTGAGAACATTTGCAGACTATTTGTTTAATGTAAGCACTTTTCATCTCCATAAATTATACCAAAGGCAACGATTTTTTAAATCCACTCAGATTAAACCGTCCCTCCGCAGGCCTCCCTTCCAACGTGGCTGTATCCTTAGAGAGCAGTGGTGTTATTGTCATTAATACAGAAAATCAGGGACCATTTCATCATTTTCTTTATTTTATTTTATAGCCAGCTTCCCGGTCTGCCTCTGCTTCCGCCCACCCGTGTGTGTATTCCCAACTAAGCAAACCTCTATACCCAGAGGAAAGGCGCAAAAATGCCCCAAAAGAGCCATCGCCCTCACCTTATTTCCTGTAGTGCATTATTATGTATATATGACAGTTTATTGCATCGATAATTAAAAGCGTTAATTAAAATAGAGCCGTAAATACTCCCGATAACACAATTGTTAGGCATTTCCCATCCTTTATTCATATGATAAATGCAATTAGGAGAGGACCAGGCCCCGAAAGGCCTCCAGCGGGCACAGGGCAGCCCACGCCGCTCTGGTCCTGCGTGGAGCCCTGGGCTGTGCATCCCACGCACCTCCCGCAGCTACAGCCGGAGTAAAAATAACACTTTGCCTTCGCACCGCCAGCCCTCACCTATCAGTTCAGCACGACGAACAAGCACCACTGCCACCCACCCACTCCCCTGTCTTAAAAAAAAAAAAAAAAAATTATCCCTAAAATAATTTGTAAATAAAACTTTATCAACTACAGACCAAAGGGAGAACAGTAAGAAAGCAAACAGCTTTCAGGAGTGTCTGGACAATCAGAATCCGGTTATATCCCACATCTCATAATTCGCACCTATTTTTCATCAGTTTAACCTATCACTTATCCAGGGGTTATACATACATTTTCGAATTGAACACGTTGAACCAGATAGGATTTGTTTGCATAATCCACGTACAGGAAAAAAAAAAAAAAAAAAGAAGGATGCGTCCCTGTTCGCAGGCAGGTTTTTATTATTATTATTATGATCATTATTACGATTTAGACGGGGTGTAATTGCCCGCTCCCTTCCCCCCCGTCCCTCTCCCGGCGGCGCCTCCCCGCCCGGGGCGCAGCCGGGCCGGCAGGGGGCGCCGCAGCGCCGCGGCTGAGCCCGTCGGGGCGCCCCGCGCTGCCCCGGCCCCTCACGGCCCCGCACGGCCCCGCACGGCCCCGCTCCGGGATCCCCGCCCTGGGGTCCCCTGCCGCCCCGCACCCCCTCCGCC